AAAAAAAAAAAATGAATTGTTTCTACTGCTAGCTAGTTAATATGTTGACCTCTTATTCATGTGGCATTTTGCAGTGAATAATGCCTAGATTGGAGCATTTACAAACAATCTTTATTTGAAAATTCTTCTTTTAAGTATGTAAGTACTAATAATTCCATATAATGATGTAAATTTGACAGTTCTAATCAGTGAATTTGCACAGTAGTTAGGATTAATAATAATTATAACGTAATCTGAAGCTGAAGAGTTTTATATTCTTAATTTAATTCATTTGGTTTTTATAGGCTCTTTATACATTTTAGCTGTTTTAGTCAACATGTTTTATAATATTATGACATTTGCCTCTATGTGATTTTAAGAGTCATTGAATTGGTGTTACCAAGAAAGGTTTCATAAATCAGAGTTTCTTGTCAACAATCTCAGGACTTTTGTTTAAAGTAAACTTTTGTTTATGAACTATCCTAGTATATATTTAGCTATACTCTAGGTTAATATATATAAGAATATGAATATAATGAACTATGTTCATGGTCATGAAACATGGGAATCAACAGTACCCCAAGCCTTGACCTACAATGTTTAATTAAATATCACGTGTACTAAATGTTTTAAATTGATAAAGATTGACTTTACTTATGAATCATCAAAGAAATTGCTTAGGGAATCCTAGAAAAATGGGGTACAAAAGATCTAGAGTCCAGCTACTGACTCACTGTGATTTTTGACAGGACGATTAAAGCAGCATTTCTTTCTCTAACTAGGCACTGAATTGGTTGGTGTTGAGGATTAATATGCACCTTAGATTCTTGATTTGTAAACCAAGTAAAGGTATTCAGTAACATGTGACAGGTAGATCCTGTGCTGTTCCACATCAGGGGGAAGATGGTAAAGGATGAGATTGCCTCTCCTTAGAGTGATTCCGTTCACTGCTGGGTGTGTAGATCCAAGTGTATAGAGTGGAATGCGGAAAAACATTGTCAAAATGAGTCAGCCTTGGTTTTCCTGATTCCAGTGTTTAAGTACAGTTTATTTCATTGTTTCATCTTAAGTCTGATTAATCGGTCTGATGTTTAGACAGCACTTCTAATTCTAAGGGTTGTTAGTCATTACTTACACAGTTTAGACTCTTGAAGGGTTTGTGTTTCTCTGCACTTATATGAAAATTATTTGTATTCCCTTGAATGTGAAAGCAAGTCTTAGATAGGAGGTGTTAGAAGTAGTTAGTGGTGGAATAAGAGTCCATTCACTCATTCATTTACTCAATGAACATCTATTAAACACAAACATCAGTGGTAGGTCCTAGGGATGCAAAGATGGCAAAAGCATGATCTTAACTTCAAAAGATTAAGTCTGGTGAGATACAACTTCTAGAAACACAAAATACTTTTATGTTGCACTTCTGAAAAAGTAATAATCTGACCTATAAATACATAAATATTTGGCTTTAATTAAAAAGGCATCTATTAATTCCATGTCAGTATTAAGGCACTGCATAATAAATGAAAGGTATTAGAGTTGATGTTACAGAGAGCCTCTGGAAACTTTTGAACATTTGAACCAGGATTCCCTGGAATATGCTGTATGGTGACTTCTCCCAATCACTGTTAAAGACTAGCGTTCATTCTGTTATGAAGAAATCCATTCATTTTTAAGGAATATTTGTTGAATACCTAACCTGTAACACACCAGCGCTGACGTAGGCTCTGATGCAGTCATTCACCAGTGCCAGCCTAAGCATGCAGCGCCCCCTGAGTAAGAATCCTCATTTACCCCAGGTCGCCCCCTAATCTGTAGCTACAGTGTGATCATTTTTCCTAAAAGGAATTTTTTCCATTTCTTATTGTGGGTTGTTTGTAGTTAGATCAGATATGACCAAGTTTCACTTTTTCTGATTACCTGTGTCATGTTTCAATATCCAGTAAATGATAAGATCAGTATTTTTAGGTCCCTAATGTGTAGCAACTTCATGTGAACCAGGTGGATGGGACTGATAGGATAAAATTGTCTTTTCTTAGTCAA